GGAGAGTTTTCATGCCAAGTTGTCATCCCAGTAAACACATTGTGCTGTGATGTTGTTTGAAACATGACTTGGATGGCAACCACAGCAAAGACTAGCAAACCAGCAGAAAAAATCAGCCCAAGGTGAACATCAGTGCTGATTCAACAGCTTCCTTGCTTCCTTTCCAGTGCCATCTGTCCCTCTCCTGGACCCCTTTGCCCAACGCAGGACCTGCTGCAACTTCTGTGCTGTGACACAGCAATGGCAGGGTAATGCTGGAGCCTGCTGCCAGAGCTGGGCAAAAGCTTTACCTTCCTCACACCTCTTCACACAAGAGAGGCCAGAGGGTGAGAAAGGCCATCCCTTACCCCATTGCTTTCCTCAGTTTTCTGAGCCAAAGCACAAAGCCTTTCTCCATCAGGGTGGTAGGGTTAGCTAATTTGTCCTCTGTGACAGATGGGTCCTCTGGAGACAAGGTTCCTCCCATGTCTTCCTCTGTGACAGCCTGGCTCCACAGAGGCCCTGCATCAGTCCCCATGTGTCTGGAACTGAGTCTGACTGCATTGATTTAGCAGTCCATTGTCCTGTGTGCTTAGTGGTGAAAAGCCAGGGGCCTCATAAAACAGGAAAGCTGGCCGGACAGAATGCACATCCAGTCAATAATGCAACATTCTCCATTTATTCGAGAGAAGATGGCAGTTTTTATACACTTCTACATAGTTTACAGGTTACAAAGGCACTCTGATTGGCACACTAACATTGTTTACCTTTGCCTTAAGGTGGCCTATACCTTACACTATAAACCTATATTACTTCACACCCAGACAGCCCAGTGCTTCCCATCACACCTTAATACAATTTCTAGCTGCGCCACAAGATCTTAATTTTTAACTGCGTCAGAAGCTGGAAGGCCTCACAAGGCCCAAATCTGAGGCCTTGACTGGAGTAGCTCAAATATCATTCCAAACATAAATCATGACCTCTGTCTCTCAGAAATTCTGTAACAGTGGTAAATACCAGAACATGATCAATAGTGTAACATCCAGAGTCTGTGTTAGAGCTTCAGTGCCAGGCCTTGGGCTCCAGAAACACCCACAAGCAACACCACTGTGAATTGGGCACTGCCTGGTGAATTGAATGGATCAAAGGAAGAAGCATCAGAAATAGGCCAAGGACACACACTTTGCCTGCTCCAGTTGCCTGCTGAAATGTCATAAGCCATCTGATTGTAACACCCTTTGAAAGACTCTTTGAAAACCTGAGAGTTCAAAGGCAGGAATCTGATTTCATGTACATGATTTTAGCATTTCTGAGGAGACACTGATTTCAGTGCAATTGATCCTGATTTTCAGAACTGTAAGGTCAGACTCCAGCCTTTTAATTTTTAAAATGACAATATTGTGCTGTCACCAACTCCAAGCCTGGAAACACTGGCAGCTCATGACAGATGTATTACAGCCTCCTTTCCCTTTCCCTGCTACCCACTAATCCTCCTACTACGACACAAGTAAGTCAGGAGCAGTGTGATATATTCTTGTAAAACAAAATAGATGAGGTTTGAAGAACATAAACAGCAACGTACTAATCCAGTTCATCGTATGATCCCAGGCTCCAAACAAAAGGGCAAGGGTGGGGCCCGCAGACCAGTCCAAGTGTCGGGTGGGTCCATGTTTTACGAAAGATAAGAACATGTTCTATTAAATGTCTTTTGTACAGTTGCTCTTTGCGACCCTGAAGGGGGAAAAAATTATCTCTGTGCACAGGCTGCAGCGGTGTGAGGCGGTGCACGCACATACACTGCCCTTGCAGCGGTGCTGCCTGGCACTGGGGATGTGTACGTTATTCACAAGTCAGCACTGCCAAGGGAACGTAGATGGAAACTCCAGCACGCAACAGCAGCATGGCAACAGACTTGCCCTGTGGCATATTTTTATCTTGTTGTGGGATTTTTTTAACTTCTGTCTTTGGTTATTATTGTAAATGACCAGTGCTAGGATGCTTTCTTTTCCTATTACCAGGATTTACACGGACTGAACATTTATGTGAATGAGGACATCTACCACAAGGATTCTGCTATCAAGACAATGTGAAAGTCTTCTTGCTTTAGGACACTACTGTTGAAGTCACCTACTCATGGTCCTGATCCAAACAAATCTTGCCCTGGGGCAGGTATTCAATGAATTGCCTAGGGCAGAATTTTTATCAGTTTCAGAGGCAGAGAACAGAGAATTGATTGAACCACAAGTATAAGCACAAACATAAACACAAGCACCTTGGAAGTGATATATTTCTTTGCTGTTATGTTGTACTCACTGCAGCTGAAATGCCTTGAAAGTAAATTGGATTTGGTTTCAGTCCAAAGGAGCCAGACTTAAAATACTGATCTACCCCTGGGTTCAGATTCCTCAAATGTTTTGACTGCTCAGTTATAAGAACCTGGGGTCAACCCATCTTAGGAATCATCACAAAACAAATAGTATTACTGGAAAAAAAAAAAAAAAAAAGAAAGTTAACATACACCTCTGAAATCAAAATAACAAATAAGTTTTTTTTCTTGTTTCTCAAACAGAGAGAATGAAAATTTTATGTGGTCGACTTTCTGTAATCCTCATGTAACTCTTAGCAATTTGACCAAGGGTTTTATTCCAACCAGATGTTTATTCTTTTCAGGATGGGTAATTATGCCTAAACAAAATGTATGTTTCTTAGGAAGCAACTTTAAGTGTTTAGGAAGGCAGGTTTGCCTGTTTATGCTAAAGAAAATCAGTCCATCAAATTTAATGACAAGCAATATTGTCCCTAAGAGAAGCTTTGTAATTACCCATCTATCCCTTTCTATTCTTTGTAATTATTCACTTGCAATTATCTCCATCCTGTCTGATGTTTTTCTAAATTATCCATGAATATAAAGTAAAGCAACAGTCTGATAAATCACGATAGTTCTTTAAATTTCTGCAAAAGTTTCTGCAGTCAAAGAGAGGATGGTGTGGAAGGGGTTACACTTTGTACTCAAGTTCCTCTTTTTGTCCCAAAGGAGAGGAAAGAAGCAGAATACCTCCAGGGGCTAATGAAACATGGAAACAATTTGTGTACAAGCAAAAAACCAAGGCTTGTCGTCTCTCACTGCCAATAATAATACTTTATTTCCTATTTGTACTGTATAATGTTCAGGATGAAAAACAAGTGATATTACTTGGTAATTCCCAAAGATGTCATTTTATAGGTACTGTGCCATCTCTCTTAGCTCACAGTGTGTAGAAATAACTCTGCTTCCACACAAACAAGAGCCAGGAGCTACCTATTTTATTTTAATTTGAGCAAACTGAAATATCCTTGATGCAAACTTCAGGAGTTTTTGCTTCTTTGAGAAATAAGACTTAGAAATTAAACTATTATAAGCTGATTTAGAGCTCTCCATCTTCAAAGAAAACCCAGTTAAACTTATTTTACTGTTAGTATTTAAAACCTTATTTTTGTGCAAAACTAGAAAATGTGGACCACAGCACGGGGTAGGTAGCGTGTGAGGTTGATTACAGATCAGCACTGATTATCACTGATAGTTTCCTCCAGAAAGAATTGGTGTGAAAACCAGACCAAGCTTAACCAGGATGCAGCCTCATAGCATTAATGGAAATTTCCCTCTATTTTCACTAAATCTGGATGTGTACAGGGAAGCAGATGAAACTGCCTTCTGGAACAATGCACAAGGATGCTGAATTTAGACCCCCTGCAAATGACTGCTGGGGTAATTATAGCAGGTGTCAAAATCCCTAAGAATAACTGAGAAACAGGACCTCCCAGCCCGCCTCTGGTGTCAGATCAACAGAGATAAAACAACAAACGAGGTCCCAGTGGGGCTCCCCAGGAACGGCAGGCAGGGAGCTGAGCTTGCCGGCAGGGCTCAGCCTCTCTCTGGGAGATTGTTTGCTGCTCCCTTTGGAGGAAACCTCCCTGCTGGTGGCATACATCCCCTCAGCAGGGACAGCAGATTAAGAGCCTGCTCTACTGCCCAGGAATGTAAGCAAAGGCCAATAGCATTCCCATAATGTGCTTCCAGAGGCCTGAGCAGCTGTCACTTGCTCCACTGTATGTAGTGACTGTGTATTCAGTGACTGTTTTGGCCCATCTGCACTTTAAGTTCTCATGAAAACCACAGTGTGCTTGCCTTTGAGAAAATAGCAGAACCCTATATAGCCCTACATACACAGAGGCTTTCAAGAATCTTCTATTCTGTTATAGCCTGTTTCAAACTTACAGAAAGCTGGAGAACTGCTTACAATATCTCCTGGCTTGGCAGATCAGCACTGGGAACAGCCTGTTCTGGCAGAACTATATCCTGGCCTACTGCAAGATGTCCCCGCCCATGGCAGGTGGGTTGGAACTTGGAGGTCTCTTCTCCAAACCATTCAATCATTCTGCAATCCCTGGTGCTGTCTGCTGTGTGCCTCATCTGCAGCAGATTAAATTCTCAGATCGCACACTAGTAGTGCTTGTATTGTTTCAGAGTGGTAATGATGGGGAACCAACTAGTTATTACTAGAAATATTGTACAGAACTGCCAAGATCTTAAAAAATAGCCTAAGCCTCATAGCATGTAATAACTGCAACTAGGCAAAAAAAGCAGATGCAGTCTCAGCCCTGTCATAACCTTTTGCATGCAGCTGCCTTACCATCAGACATGCACTGGTGACACGTGGCAAGTGAAAACACAGCTATGTTTTAAATAATTTCCTAGCTCTCAGTCAGTCCAGGATTTAAATGATGCAAGAGTGACATTGCTTAGTCATTTCTTTGCAAAGTCAAGAAGGGGGAGCTCTGTCTGCACCTCCCTTCCCCAGTCACTGTGGCAATACTGCTTTAAAATTTTAAGTAAATACAGGCTTTGGAGATGGAGTTTGGGAAGCCAACTCAGTAACAAAGGAAGATTCAGACAAGAACTCCCTATTGCCATCTCCTTGTTGCTAAAACCAGGAGACGACCATTAAATAAAATGCCAGAATATCAAATAAGGCATTCTGATGTTGGAAGTTTCTCCTTTTTATTCACACAATCACAGAACAGTGAATTCACAGTTTGGGTTAGAAGGGACCATTGGAGAAAACCTGTCAAATTTCTTTGCCATGGGCAGGGACACTTTCAACTATATCAGGACTAAAGTAGCCTTATAATTCAAATTTAACAGCCACCAGCATCAAATGCATATTCTAAAGCAATATCAAGTGCACTTTCACAAAAAAAACCCTAATGTATATGTCTTGCCTTCATTAAACTCTGGAGCCCTTCTGGTCATATCCACAAAAGTTTTCTGGAATGAGAGAAAGCTCCAAGGGCAAACCCAGCCTTTGCAGCCCCAAACAGAACTAGATACTATGGAAATGAATTGCTAACACTGTTGACCAGCTCCATTGTTTAAAGCAGCGCCCTCTCAGACTTCAGCAATAATTCAACAGTGAAATAAACAGCTCTGATCAGATAGCCAGGGAAATTAGATAAAGAGCACAATAGCTGTGAAGATAGGAATATTTCATGAAGAGTCATATATCAGTTTATTCCTGATTTAAGTCCCTTTTGATTACGCTTTGTTTATACCTCACATCTGTATGACAAGTCAGAAAGAAAGGCAAAGATCTTTTCTGACAGAATCTGTTTTCCCCCAAGATGACATGTGCATGTTACCTTCATGACTTAGCACTCAGCCATCTCCTTGTGACTCTTTCATGTTTCTTGCTTTGAAATAATGACTGCGTTTCAGGACACAGCAATTTCCTCAGAGCTTGTTTTGATACTTTAGCATGCTCCCGGGATACCAAACCATTCAAAAGTACTCTTTTCCTCTGCGTCTGTTCCCACAGAAGTCCAAGGCAGCTCCTTTGAGTCTCAGGACAGCATCTTTGAAATTCCGCCCCCACCATCACTTTGAACATAAGCAGGTTAAACCCGAGTTTAGCACTTATTTTGTATCCTAACATACTCATTTCTTTCAAAGTAAGTCGTTTAACAAAAAAAAAAAAAAAAAAAAAAAAAAAAAAAAAGAAAAGGCACCCAATAATAAAAAATCCAAGATGCCTGGATGTAACAGAATTAATGGGATCACCCCACTCTTTTAATAATATACTTCCCAAAAATGTTACTGAAAGGGCCAAGTGTGGTTGCTGTGGATGAAAGAAGCTACAAGCAGCAGGAGTATAGGTTCAGTGCTGGGAAAGAAGAAATCTCTGTCCTTGTCAAATGGGGCTACTGTGGAATTCAGGATGCTCCGTACACACAGCTGGCTATAAAACTCTTCAGATCATTCAGCTCTGCTTCGCCCCTAGAGCAAACAATTCTCTTTGCATTTTTGTTCCTCTTATCAAAGGTAAATAGGCTGGGTATTTTGTAGTACTCTGGGGTTTTCTGAGGATATTCTTAAAATACCTGGCCAAGCCAGAGGACCACATTTAAGGGAGGAGAGGCCGTTCTCTTTATAGGTTTGGGGGGCTACTTTTGAAACTAACACATTGTAGAAGATATTTTTTCTTCAGACAGTTTTGAGAGGTAGGTTGATACCAAGATAAAACATACCTATCTAGGTTTTACAACCATTGTAAATAATTTGGGTATCTGATTTATGATCATAAATTCAATATTGAATACTTTCAAATTACTAAATTTAGCAAAAGAGTCCAAACCTACTGGTTTTCCTTTGCCTTTTTACGGGCATGCCATGCAGCTAATGGCTAGGCATTCCAATCCAGTGTCCGACTTTCTGTTTGTCACTCTATGTCTTAGGAAACTATACTTTAAATAACACAGATAATACCTATAAATAATGAAAGGCCAAACACCATCAAAGTTTTACTTTAAAAGCAACTTCAGAAATCTAAAAACCTTTCAATGGTATCTCCTCCACTCCCAGTTTGTGAATGAGGATCTTGCTACCTCAGCTTCAAGAATGTGGTATCCTTTTTCAGTTTCTTGTATTCTGAGTTCCCTGGATTTGAGGACTTACTACCTTCAGCAACACTATATTTTAACCACCATCAATTATTCTCAATCTTAATTTACCTTTGGAAAAGTATTTTAAGGAAATTTCCTTAGCTTTCCCCCAAAGCAGTTCTACGGGAAGAACAATTCAGTTGCAGTTAGGAGAACTTCACTACGGAAGAAGGTTTTCCTGAGGTGATGAGTGTTGCATAGAAGTCCCCCAAATTCCTTCATATTAGTCAGCCTCCTTTCTCTCCATATCTCCAAAAGCAGATGTTCTTCCTCCTGCAGTTTTGATGCTGCAAGTTGGAGCAAGTTGTAAATAGTGAGAAACTATGCAGAATTAGCAAACTTCAAAGTTGTGATAGATTACTGTTTCCAATCATAATGATAAACAAGTTGCTAATAAGCACACAGATTTGCTCCATTATGAATATAGAGTAAATTCACAAGCTGTAGTAAAGCTATTTTGGAAATACCTCACATGAGACAAAATTTTGACTCTTTTATTTCTTGATTTCTTGATGACATAATACCAATAGAGAATATCTTAGTGTGAGCATCTAAAAACCTCACAGTATTTCTGCTCAGGTATAATAAATGCAAAGTATTTTTAAAAAGCAGTAAAATACTTGAGAACTAAGGTGAAAGTCACAGTCTTTACTTCTCATTTAAGCAGGAGTAGTAGAAATCAGAATCTGGCTTGCTGTGCTTATTAGCAAGGGGAGAAGCAGAGGCACTCACTTTAGTGACAACTGTAAATACAGTTCTCCAAATTTGCATGGCCAAGCAGATGAAAATAAGATCTGAAGATAATTTTAAATGACAAGTGGGAACATTTAACAGTGACAATTATTTTTCCTTTTTCACAAATTGCTATAACTATACATAAGTTTTCCAAATACTCCGCTATGTACAAATCCTGCAGTCTTACTTAGGTAGGGTCTGGGCTAGTAGTATTTATTTCACAAATTCACGCATTTAGGATTTGTATCACAAAAGTCTTCCCAATGCTGTTTATTCTTTTAAAAATCCTCAACATATCAACAGGAACGCAGGGCATATCTTGGGTTGCATCATTAGCTTCGGTTTCAGGAATTACTAAAATCCCCTAAGCTACAATTTGTCATGATTCTCATTCTTGGGAAATCCTTTAAAAGAACTGTTAAAGTAATTAAGCTAGTGTCCTCGATTTAATCTTTAGGGCTGCTTAGCCAACATTGAGTCACCGAAGTCTTCTAGGTCAGACAGGAAAAGAATTGACGTCATTGCAAAACGCCACTGCGTAAGTGTGTCTGAAAAAAATGGCAGCCAAGTGCACACAGTTGGATAATCAGATGCTGTGAATAACAGTCAGCTCAACAGGTGAGCTTAGGGAATTAGGCACTTCAGAGCTGAACCAAGTGTGTCTTTATTCAGATGATAAAATATCTGCAATGCACTTTCTCTGACATAACATATTTAGCAAACTTATCAAGATGTTTCCTCTGTCCAGAAAGTCAACCAGCCTATTAGGAGTGATAATTTGGCACAGAATATGCTCGAGGGACAAATACGATAAGGGATGTTTCATACAAAGGGGCTTCCACTACTAGCCAGTTATGTCAATCTGCAGCTAAAAACAGAGCAGCATAAAAATAAACTTTAACTCTTCACCCTGAGTAATTAAACTGTTTTCTAACTAAATAAGCACAGCTTAAACAGGCACCAGGAAAGACAGATACAGCTCTGCTGTAATGCTTAAAAAGTCAAAACCAAATACTTAAGCAGGACACTGCATTCTAGATATTTTCCCATTCCTTAATTAACATTTCCAAATTCCAGATGAACAGGAACGGAACCACATAGTTCAAAGAGAGACCCCAGTTTCCTCAGAACCTGAAGACCCTTCAAACCTGAACTGTTCCCGCTCAGACTCATTTTTAGAAAAGTCACAAACAGGAAGTGCATGTGCCGTTGTCCACAGGCAAATGAAGGGAGAATAAAGCTGTGTTTAGGCATACACTAACCTTGAACCTTATCCCAGTGACTTATACCTGCCCCAGCACTAATCAGAAGACTTTTCTCATGACTAGCAAAAGCCCACATCCTTGCAGTAGTTTGAATGATTCAGAAATATATCTAGCTCTGGCTGTCCAAAATCCTTATCCTAATCCCCAGTAAAGACTCCTTGCATCTCAGAAATCCTTCCCGCAGCAGAAGTAAAACCAGCACATATTTGTTATTTAAATGTTAATGGTTCTGCTCTTCAATTTATCTCCAAGAGCTTAATCTATCTAACTATAAAGCTGCCACTGTTAGAATCATCCTAAACATAAGCCCAGACCCAGCTCAAAGCCCACGTAACTCCTGGCTGTCACAAAATCCTTCAAGTTGATGTCCACTCCAATTCTTCCTACAAAAAGAGTAACACAGCGTCCAGTAACAATCTCAGTTCTTCAGCCTTCTTTTACAGAAATATAAAGTAACCATAATTTAATCATGGCCCTACAGCATTTATCCAAAAGAAAACTTCCCCTGTCAGTACCTAGAGGAGCTGTGACTCTAAGAAGACCTAGGTCAAACACATATCTTCATGAGGAACTTTACCAAACCCTATCTTGAACCTAAGATTTTTAAATGTTATATTTTAAAAGATGCCTTAAGTTATTCTCACTTGTCAGACTGAACTTTCATCCCAGCACTGCAGGGCTTGTAGGATCCAGCAGTGAGCTGCCTTCACCTTTGTGGCACAGGGTTAAGGCATAATCATAGCAGAGTGTCTCTGTGTGGCTTTCAGCATAAACAATTATACAGAATGCATACTTCAAAGCATATAGCTCTGCTAACTCTGCCATCCTCCTTACAAATATAATCAGACTACAGTTGTACATTGAGGTTAGAGTTTGTGTCCAGGACAGACCTGATTTTATTACCAGACATGCAGAGTTACAGCAGGATGAAGACTAAGCCAAAAAAATGGTGAACAAGTGCTGAGTTCTGGCAGAAACAAGTTTGCTGTGCTGTACCTTACTGTACAGTTAGAGCTGGGCACAACAAGAGATTAAAAGATTGCTTTATCACTGAATTTTACAATACCTGGAGGTCTATGATGAAGGCAGGCACCCAGAGAGATGCCTGAAATGGATAAGATGCAGACTGGTGTTGAAACAACCAGCACTGACAGGGTTAGGCTCAGTGAGCTATAAAAGTGGGGCTAGAACTGGTTGAAGAAGAAGGTGGTATGCAAAGCCCAGCAAAGGCTGAAAGCAGTAGCAAATGGCTCTGAATTTCTTAATGTGGGTGGTGTCAATAATGTCACAAGCCTAAGTTAAGCACAGCATTGAAAAAGGAACTCTAAATCCAGGACAGTAGGAATTAAAAATATAAAGAGGTTTCAGGATCCTACAGAGACAGCCTATGATCACCTTAGATACAAATATAAAACTGCCCAGGATATATTTACTGTTAGGACTGAGACAGCAGATTGCCTATTGACCCACATACATTTCCACAATTTACTGTCTAAATCTCTAACTAGAAACAGTGCAGCTTTTATAGGAACCAGCAAAACAAACAAACAAACAAAAAGTCCGAAGCCAGAACCAAACAATTAGTAAAAGGCTTATTTTTAGCCACAGCATCCAGGGCCCTACTTCTCACTCTAATACTTAAGTTTTAATTGTGCCATAGAGATTTTAGCAGTAACAGAACCCAGTGTGAATAATTAATGCTGGTCTCTCTAATTCTTTTCCTAGCTCTGCATGTTTTGCAAGATCCAGCAACAAAGCCAGCTCTTCTTTGCCCCCTACTTGGAAGGAAAATTCTTTCCCCAGATGCTGGCCTTGCCCATACAACAGGGATTCACTAATGAGAACCCAGCTGCCTCTGCCTGCTCTGGTCCTTATCCTCATAGTGCCAGTCTTGCTCTTCATTCCCCAATGCAGAAATAGTCCTCAAACTGGGATAGGGTTTTTTATGAGGAGGACTGAATAAGACCATGTATCGCAGCAGCGAAACATTTCCACCTGGATTTTGCCTCTCCTCTAATTTCCATTATTAGTTTCCTTTTTCTCTTCCCCTCCCCTCTGGCCCACCAGTTCTCTCCTCTTCTCTGCAGCATTCTCATCACACAGTGTTGATGCAGTGTGCCTGGTGGAGTAGCCAGGTGAGTTAGGCCACAGGATGCATCACCACATGGGTTTGGCAGCAGCTGATTTGCTCCTTGCTTCACTTCTTTCTTCCCTTTCCCCACTTCTTTCTGAGTGTTGTGAAACCACAGACCAGCAGCTGCCACATCCACATGGGACCAGCAATTTGGCCAGGGGGTGCTCAGGCTGGCCAGGATAGTCAGAACATCAAAATACACCCTTAGAGTCACATTTCTGTGGGAATTATGGCTCCTTGTAATCTCTTTGGCTGAAGCAAGAGGCTCAGTGACCATGGGAGCTTGGAGTCAATTCTGGCAGCCCTGGGTACTCTAAGCAAATCTGACCCCTAGGAAAACATAGAAGTGGTTATCTAAGTCTGCACATCCCCAGCATGCTGCACTGAGGATCTTTGGGAAGAGGGTGCAAAGTTGCTGAAGACATGAGCATTTCTTGGCAGTGGAAGGCAGTGCTGGGCACAAGACAGGCTGGAAGTGCAGGAGCAGGATCCACAAGCAGTCACACAGCTGGATAATGTGAGGGAGTGTGTCAAACCATAGAACAGACGGGAGGACTTAGTCTGGAAATTTTGTATTTCCCTGCTAGGAAAACTTGATTAGAGGGATAATCAAGAACATAAGTGACTGACATTGGGGTTTCTGATCCAGAAATCTTGAGCAACTATGGACAGGTTTCCCTGCACCACACAGCAGCAACCTTAAGTGATACAGGAGAACAACCTTGATTTTCTAATGAGTGGTGAATAATTAACAGAACACTGCAAGGTACTCAGATAGAATTGCAGGGGATTCTGTGGCCATGAATCAGCCAGCCAGTGTATGAGAATATTATTTAGCTATCCCTAAAAAATAATATACACCAGCATCAGAATTTTCAACCAAAGAATTCCCCAAAGCTTTGCAGCTTAGGTGATGAAATTATTCAAAATACTTAAGGTTTTGTTTCGAATTGACAGCTGAAAAACAATGAATCATAAAGCACATGAAATATATGTCTCTAGTGATATTCCTCAGTACTAGAAGTGATTCTTTTACAATACAGATATCTGATAAGTTGTTGTTTATGTGGGCTTGTGCTCTGATAATTCAAACAGACTTTTTCTAGTTGCCTTTAATATCCAGTGCAGGACGAAAGCATTGTAAAATCCA